ATGTATCTTATTTAAAATGCTTAGGGGGTGGTTGAGGTTTAAATGAAATGACTAGTTTGTATATGTTAGTCCCCTGGATTAGTATATATAACTAAATACAGGCTCACAAGTGTACTAATATATCATATCTATCAAATCTTTTGTGGGGGAAAAGTTGTGCCAGCAGATTGAACTCACACATAGGTATGCAACACATATACACATATAGGACAATACCATGCTTACACAGTTGTTATTGTTGTTGTATGTTGCTCTAGAAAAAATAATTTAATAATATCTTAAATATGTTATTCTATGCCATCCCCCCTACAGGGTCAATTATTCCTGAAATCCCCACATTTGTCATCTCCCTCATTGCTAAATAGCATAAAGGAGAGGTGCCAGTCCTATAGATGTGTTAAAGCCCTGAGTAGCAGCAGTCTGGGGCTGTGATGAGAGATAATGTGATAATTTCTCCACTCAGGTAGACTGCACCAAAGGGACAATTACATTAGTGATCACTCCTGCTGGGCTCTCCCTGCTTGCTTTATTCAGAGCAGCTTAGTGTGCAAAAATAAGCAGGTTTCATGACATTTGCCTCTTTCTGCGTAGTATGGTAATGAGCACAGCAGACAAGCTAATCAGCACTGGCTATGTATGTGGATATCTAGAGATAAAGTTCAGGTCACCTCGAAGTCAGAGACCTCTTACTGGATGACTGGATCAGAGGATGGACTAGAGCTGCTGCGGGACAGACATGAAGAAGACTAATCTGCTCCACACAGCCTTCTTCTCCCTTGCTGGGGCACAGCAGCTGTACAGGGAGCCAATCAGGTTCAGGCATGGTTCTGTATTATTATTATGATTATTATTAATAAAAATGATCATAGTAATAATGTATTATTATGATTATTATTAATAATAATAATAATAATAATAGTAATAATATTATTTATTCTATAATAAAGAAATAATTTAGTACATCATGGTAATTGGGATTGAGTTACCAAAATACTGTGAACTGTTCACTTACTTGAGTAAATAACTTGAAGGTCTTCACTCCAATCACTCATCCTGTGTACCCATGAATCCTTTTTTATTATTATTTATTTCTCTTTCACATGATTTGGTTATTCAAAACAACTTTACCATATTTACTAAACTAACTGAAAATTCACTTTATAAATTAAACTCTTTGCTAAGTGAACAGTTTATACTCCTTTAGTAAATCAAACGCATTGCACACTTGCTATTTCACTGTACATTTAGTAAAAAGGTGATGTTTTGTTCACTTTAACTATCCAGTCATATTCATGGAAAAATAAAAGAAAGATGTTTTTTTTCCTGGACATGATTGGAATGAACACGTTTTCAGCTTATTCACTAAGCTAATGGAATCTTTACTTTGCTAAGTGAATATTCCCTACTTATTGAAATTAATTAACCCCATCGTTTTTTTCTGTTAGAGTGCTTGGGGTGCAGATAGGAACTATAATAATCTACATATTGAGCGGATGTAAGTGTTTTCCTAATAAGTCCTGTACAATTTTTGAAAGCAAAGCCCTGGCTGTTAGGGTATAGATGACTGTTATAGTAAACCATATTTTGCTATTTAAAGGGGTCAATTTAAAGTTCACCCAACCTGAAGGATGGAGGGGAAAACAAAGGCAAGAAAAGGAGTTGAAACTCTTCACTCAAAAAAATGGGAATGATAATTACAATTATCCGATCATCTGCACATAAATGGGTATTCAAATTCAAACAGGAATTTGTTTTTCACCTAATTAGTAAATTGAAATAATTGATATATTTTAAATGAAGATTCTCAACTGGTTTAGTAAATCCGCCTCAAAGTGTGTGATAAAACTGGTTAAGACAAGATTTGTTGCTTGTAAAAATATTTATTAAAAATGTTGAAAAATCTATATTGGTGGTCTGATTCCCCTTTTCATCCTTCAATTCATTTTCTTCGATCTCCCTGTTTTTTTCATTTTATTCTGCTCAGGACATAGTCTCGGCAAGTGTAAATCTGTCTTTACTGGGCATTATTTCATGTGATTACAAGTAAATGATAGTAGCGCAATCTTCTACACATTATCTGTCTTTACAAACTCCAGATAAATCACGTAGTAGGGCCCCATGAGTTAACATCAAAGCAGACTGTCGGAGTAACTGCTGAAATAAATCCTGCACAGGGCAATATCAATCAGAAATGAATGGGCTCTCAGGGGTTAAAGAAAATTCACGTGAGAGCTCCAGACAGACAGGGGAAGAAGATGATCTATGACGTCACAATGCTGACATCGACTAGACAGCTGAAAATATGGAAAACCAGCGGCTTTGCTGTGCCCGGTATTGTGTATTGTGGCGAGCAGAGTGGATTGGTGGCTGATTTATGTTGCCAGTTCTTCGTACAATGTTATCGTGGGGAGCTGATACATTAAGAAGTGTATTGTGTGCCTTGTAATTCTCTGCCTGGCTAATTGGACCTATTTAGACAACCTGTATTCAACAATTAAACGTTGATTGTCTTTAAATAATAAAGTACTCCGGTTTACTGGCTTTGTATTCACAAAAGGGTCTGTCTGGACGTCGTTCCATTAAAAAAGGAGGTAAAATCAAGTCAATAATAAAGATATATTTTACCAAACTGAAATGTAACAGGGTAACCTTTGTCTGGGAGCAAATGTGCTAAAGCTCGATAAATAATTACTTTACCGAATTAAGAAGAGACAGTTACTGTACAAAGGGATTCATTTTGTTTCATCATAGTCAGTTAAAGCCGTTCTCCTTTATATTTTAACATATCCATTAATTGTATTGTTAAAATGTATACTTTAAAAATAATTTTGTTATTATATAAACTACCTAAAAAAATAAAAATAAATCAATTAAAAAAATCGTAATAAATGAAAATACATAGCTTCTGGCGAGCAAATCCACATTATATCACAGAATGTCAAATATTGTATTGTGATTAATAAATGCTAATTACAACGTTTGTTATATCACATGTATGGCTAACAAAAAGCAACGATTATTAATTTGCTTTACAATAGTAAAATAGTGTTTACAAAGAAGACAGAGGAGACTAGCAGTATAGCAGTACTAACCTTTAGGACAGGATTACAATGAACCCCATTTGAACCCCTTTTTCAGCTGGTTAGGAAAGCATGGCTCCTGGAGAGGAGAGTGCTATGTACTAGGCAGTGCTGGTGACAGATCTGCTACTGATAACCTCAGTCAGGGGACACTCACTTCTTTTTATTTTCACTCACTTTCCTACTAGGACCGTGTATCATTGTGTCTACACATGACATAGATAACCAGCAGCTGAAAAGTGCTTTTGCTGTAGGTGTCAGGAGACTAGCAGCCTACCTGCGTGACCTGCCTTTGACTTACCTGTTGACAATGGGAGGGAGGAGTCTATTTACTGACAAGTACTACAGAAAAAGTAACTAGTAATCCACTCTAGAGAGTGCTATGCATCATATTTCTCCAATCTCCGAGCCCAGCTGATGTATCTGACTTTACACAAGGGGGGATATTCTGCGCTGTATGGATGCATGATATATTGATGAGTAGTGGCAGTTTATTCTGAACCATAGCAGGTAAGAAGAGTGTAGAGGGTCGCGATTTCTAAGAATGTGAGGCTGCTGTGTGTTGTAAACCTGTTAAATAAGCTTTGATCATGAGCCATTAATGTGTTTGAGAAGAGACGCGTGTTTTTGTAGCCCCTTGTTGGATAGATACACACACCCCATTGAGGGCTGCCCTCCCCATGCTTTGGACATCAGTCAGCCTGTCTCTGCTGTCTGTATGAGGCCAGTGCTGTGTTTACAGTGGGCTCCATGTAAAGTGCTAGGACTGGCACCCCTGTGGAGCACAGTGTTTATTTAGAGTTGCATGAATCCAATCAGCGGTTGCTGCAATTTCAGGCAGAGCTGTAAGAGGCGCCTCCTCCTCCTCGTCCTCCGAGCTCACATTGCTGAGAGACAGAAGAGCCCCACAATCGTGTCTGCCCTGACCTGTACTCTGTGCGCTCGCTGGATCTCTGCACTCACCTCCATCAATGGGCTCTGCGCCGATATAGGTTAGCACATGTTCTCTTACTATACATGCGATCTGGGGATACACTGACTGCTGATCTAGGAGAAGCTGGGGAGAGTTTCGCAACCTGGTATGGGACATTCTGCCTTCATACTGAAGATCTGGGGAAAAGTTTATTATCACAAGTTAACTGCCACTGAGAGTCTTTGGGAGGCAAGGGGTTAAGTGTCAAGTAGAGAGGTTGGGCACAACTGCCTGCACTGGGGCCCCTGGCTGCGCTGCCAGGCACTGGTCTGTTGGGGAGTGAGTGGGCTTCAGTGCCAGCTCCCTGCTCAGCCCTGTGGCTGATACTGTTGATAGTGGAAGTGTGCCATTTGCAAGGTGTGTTGCCTGAAACATGCAGCCGTATGTAAACCTTGGGAGGCCCTAAGCAAATGGTGCTGCCTGGCACACAGCTGCTCATGAAGGTACATTGGCTTCCCCCGGCTCTCCCCACCCTTAGCACTGAGTCAGAGAGTGTGTGGATGTGAGGCCAGCACCCTCTCCTACACAAGGAAGGGAAAGGCAGCAGAATTTCCCAGAGCTGCAGGATATGGTATATAGACAGGACTACAGACCCAGCTCACTGCTGACTGGAGACAGACTCAAGAATGGGGACAGTTTGTGACAATTAGCCTTTGACCGTGGCCGTGTAACAGCTCTCCTGGTTTGTGACTTGTTACTATGAACTTTATGCGTTTTACATAATGGGATTGTCAGTTGAGGCTGTTGATGATATTTGCTGTCTGATCCAATTATCTGCTTCTCTATTCATACCGCACGTCTGATGAGGGGACCTTTGTTTAGTGACAGGGTATTTCATGGAATTGGGTGTTGAGGGACTGTTTGATGGACTGTGTGTAGTTGCAGTATTGGTGTTTCCTAATCCTTTGTCTTTTTGCTTTTTTTCCATGGACTGTCTCTAAAAGGACGCACGCGTTTCAGTGCCCATTCCTCTCCAGCTGCCCACCTGGATGGACCTTCCTGAGGATTCCTGGTCCGATGTCAAAAGACTTAACCTAGGAAGCACATTGTACCCTTCCAAAATCAAAGAACCGGACAGCTCGTCCTCGTCCCCCTCGTCTTGCTCTCAGGGGGACCTGAGTTCCAGCAGAGCTCACCAGTCGGACACTGAGAGGAACCAGTCTCTACAGGAAGGCAGGTCGGCCACAACTACCCACCACCTCGGTCTTACCCATTTCTCCACCCTGCCCAACCCGGAAGACATCATACTTTTCAGGGATTTAGATCACATCAACAAACTGATCCTACCCAACAGGGAACCAAGGTATAGTGCTTTGTCCGAACCTCAAGGGGACATGTACCAAACCCTGACAATAACAGCGACTCAGGGACCTGTCAGCTACGATGGGTCACCAGGAAGCTTCATGCACTCCTCTGCCAGCTCTCCGGTCTATGTTCCCACTACCAGGGTTGGATCTATGCTTACACCCATCTCATACCTTCCTGGCAGTGGCCATTCCCAGGGATCCCACCCTGTGAGCAATCACTCAGTGTGGTCCCAAACCGCTTCAGACAACTCCTCATATAACAGCAATAGCCCACATGCCTCCAGCAGATACCATTACTCTCCCAGTCCACCCATGGCCAACGGGACCAACAGGGACGCTGGTTACAACAATGGCATCACCGTGAATGGCAGAGATCAATATAGCCCCTTGGCTCGGCAAATAAACGGATCGTACGCTAGTCCCTACTCGTCCTACATGGCACCTCCTCTGACCACAGGCTGGCCTGCTGGACCCTTTGACAACTCCATGCTACATAGTCTTCAGGGCAGACCAGGGGGTATCCCTATGAGAGGGCATCCTGGAGGTAAGAACACTGCGTTTAACAATGTATCATTATCCAAATGGGATTATTGTTTTCTATGTATCGTTTCCAATAGTATAAAATGTATATCTAAATATTCATTGTGAAAGACCAGCTATGGTATGTATATTTGTCCTGATTAGATATAATACAAACATTAGATATAAATGGGCATCTTTCTGGTAGCGTGCATGTTCCATTATGATCTGAACATTGGCCAGTTGTTGACTTTTTTCCCCCTTATGACTGTAATACACATATATAGTTACTTATCAAGTCAGGTTACGAAAAGATGTATTCATCTTTAGCAGGTATTATAATTGCTGCTGGGAAGAGTGCTGTGAAATTAACGGTGTGTGCTATTGTTACAGTGACAAGTTATATAACCTAAAATGCAGATTATTATTATTATTATTATTATTACAATTGTTAGGCTCCAAGGCATTAGTAAGACCTGAATTATTTTTATCAGCTATAGATTTGATCTTTCCCTTCAATACAAAAGGCACCACTTGCCGATCACTAGGTATTCCATTTTTAATAGAAACATTGGTGAAGTATTTGTATTAACATTACAAGCAATAACACATGGAGCTTGTAACTGTCCAGTGACACGCCATCCTTCATCTGCTGTGCCGCCATGTCACACCATGTTATCAGATGGCTGGGACCACTCTAATAGAAGACACCATAGAATAACACAAGGGCTGGAGACGGTAATCACCATCCCAGTGGTGTCACTCTCCTTCAATATGTGTCACATGGCTGAATGCACTCTCACTTCCTGCTGTCACCCTGACTGGCCTTCCAATGCACTCTACTATGGCTGAACTAGCTGGATAAGAAGTAAAGCAGTTGCCTATAGCAGGCAATTAGCTTGTTTTTGAAGGTTTATGTGTCCATATTTTACAGTTAAACAATATCCAATTGCAGACTTGTGATCTGTGGCCCTGAAGCAGACGCTTAAGGACCAGTCCTGGTCTCAGTGTTCATATGTCTGATTGTTTCTGGTACCCCTCACCATTATTCATAGTTTTAATTGTAATGAATTCAGTTTCAGGGATACTATTTTCATTTTTACAGGTTAGGTTTTGGTCTCCACAGCTCATTATTAAATGATGTGTGCTCGCACATGATCGAACGTTCTAATTTAATTTAAATGTAGTCATAAAGAACTCTTTTTTTAAGGTGTGTGGTGGTGAATTTACAATCTATTGCATCTATCCCCTGTGTGCAATCTTTCTTCATGTCTTAGTTGTGTGTACATGTGTTTCAAGCAACCCAACATGTCTGATTTGCGGAAACTAGAGCTAAGAGATTAAGGGGTGTTGCTCTAACCAATCAGGGTCTATGATTCATTTTTTGCTCGGAAAATGAACAACTGATTGGTGTAATTGTGCAAGAGCTCTGCTTTTCTTTAGGGAATTGGGAGGAATTTTTTAAAACTGAAGCAGACAAGTCCTGGAAATGATGCCCATGGCGACCATTCAGCTTCTCTCTTCAGTGTGTTCAGTTAAGCTTTAAAAATGGAAGAGAGAAGCTGATTGGTTGCCATGGGCAGCTGCTCCATATTCTGTCTGCTCCATTTTTGATAAATTCTCCCCATTGTAGTTATTGTCAGGCCCATTATGTCTTTCAATAGACAAATAGAAATTAATATCCACTGACCCCATGAGCATACCTACTAGCCTAAGCAATTCTGGTTGAGGTCCAACAATAAAAAATGAGATCATTTAATAGGGAAGTCCTATAGTATTTTTATTTTAGTTAAACCTGACTGGATATTTGAAGCAAACATATACCAGGATGCAACATTCTCATTTAGTGATGAAGCTTTTTGAGGAGGCCTTTGTCTTTGTATTCGGCCATATGGATATAACCCAGGGCATTAGGGGACATTATTATAAAGCATAGAACTGACGACCTAATTAACATTTCTATTATTTTTACAGTGTTTATATTCCAACATTGGTATACATACATATGAAACCTCCGTTGTAATAGTACATGTGCTGTAAGATAGAAAACTGACCCCAGCACTTTCTACAGAGATATATACAATCGTATGTCTCTTTGTTCCTATATTCAATGTATTACATAGTTGTAACCTTCACTCCTGGAAAACATCACGAGTCTGTAAGAATAGAACATCTTCATATGGTTTGAAAGTATTACGCCTGAAATGGCAACTTTAGTAAATCGCCCAGAATAGTTTAGTACATTTCCGTCTGTAGAAATGCGGATTCCGGCTATATGATGATGTCATATATGAAGATGACATATACCCGGAATCCCTATTAATACAGACGGAAATGTAATAAACTATTATGGGCGATTTACTAAAGTTGCCATTTCAGGCTTAATTACTTTCAAACATGTAATAAAGCCATTTCAGGCTTTATTACTTTTATACATGCAATAAGTTCACAGGAGATGTTTGAGCAAATGGAAAACCCTCATTTGATTCAATGTTTGAGGGTGATTTACTAAAGAGGGAATTAGTAGCGTAGCCGTTTTATCGTTCTCTATCCAGATTTATTTGAAATGTCTTTTTGTTCTTGACATGCATCCAAACTTACAATGAGCTACGATTTCCTGGGTCAGGATTATGATCTCTGTTAGAGTGCCATCTATTGTAGTGGGGTTGGGTGCATACATTTGATATAGATTTCTATATGGCCGAGGTTAGTCTGGTTTCCTTCCAGTAAGACTATCGTTACTTACCTCCCTCTGTAAATCTGACCTGGTACAGATACATTATGTACCTAAAATTATAACTGGCCAGAACACCCCCTCCCCCCCTCCCCCCCATCCTGAACTGACTGCTATGTATTGGTAGGCCTGGGTATGCTGTCTCTCACCAAGTGACAGTTGTGAGATCCCTAATGGAGTCTGTCACGTGGCCTTGCTTCTGCTCCTGATAATCTTGTACTCTTTGTACCCTTTATAAGTCACCAGAAGGTTTCCTGACACTGAGATCAAACTAGCTGCAGCTATTCTAGATGGTATTGCTATTTTTAATCTGGAAACAGCCATCAATCTGATAAAGGTACTCCTGAGGCAATATACTCGTCGATCTTTGCGATAATTCCCAGGTTTATCTGCAAGCTAATACCCTTTGATCGATGACATAGTCGTGTGTTCACCTTCATCTGTGGACTCATACTGAATGGCTTGTATGATATCATACAACTTGCTCTATGAGGTTGATCCATGTGAGGCAATGCACACAATGATCTATGAGATTATGAGACTATAATTTCATGTATTCTGGGGAACATTAACCTGAAAGGCAATACATATCTGATGATGTATAAGATCATAGTCTGATCTGTGGTATGACATAGTACACACTCAAATACATTGTATGCGTCATAAGCTTTTATATTCTTTAAAATGGCAACTGATTCTCACTCACAAAGCGACCACACCAGCATGGATACTTAAGTGACAGTTTTCTTTGGTAATGACAGTCCCATGGCTAAAATAAATGTATTTATTCTGTTAACACTTTGTGAATTGAACCTCTGGAGTCTAAATTTAATTACATAATGGTAAAATCCCCTTTTCATCACACATTTTAAAGGGGGTTCTATTTTTCGCATTAGACTTCATTTATGCCATTCTTTTTGTTATTTACGCCAATAAAGGCCATTTTAATGAGAAGCAGTATGACAGCATGACATATTTGCAGGATTTAAAATATGCAAAATGCAGAAAACTATAAAAACAGATCGCAATTCAGTTTAGGAACATCAACTCAGTGCATATTTAATTCTAATTAGTCGTCTTAGGTTTCTGCACTTCGGCTTACTGAAAATGCGTTTTGTATTGATCGGTTATATTACCTGACCACAATGTGAAGATGGTCCACTTTATATAACAGAGACCAATGAAGTGACTGATTTGGGATCACATAAAACAGAATTGAATTAGATTACCTAAACTTAGAGAGCTGGCAACCTACCTTCAGGTGGTACATACTTCATGTGCCATGGCAAGGCAGAGGGCACCGTGGCATGGTGTGAGATGTACACAATGAGGAATCATCATTGTCCTGTCTCAGTTTCCTCACATTTTGTAAACAGTGCAAAGTAGATCGTCCCTTCCAGAGATTATACATTTGTAACTCTGACAGTTTGTTTATCATAAAATTCCTCAGAGATTTTTCTTACAGTCATTGAAGATCAAGGAGCATTCAAAGTAAAACAAAATATTTTTATTTAGTTACTTAACCTAGCTGTCTAATATTTCACGAAATCATTTTCATATACCTGCAGATTAGATAGTCAAGTGTATATTCAAATTACAAGTGCTTCTTAATCGAATCTCTCTATTTAGGATTTTCTTCAACAAATATCTATAAGCATTTTGTTTTTAGCACAGCCAAAGTATATTATCCTTGTTGTTATTTCTCGATGTACATTCTTTTGTGTAAATCGGGTAAAATAAACGTTTAGAACACACTTATCAAGCTCCTAAAATCTTGGCATTAGTCACCTATATTATCATACAATAGCAGCATTTTATGTTTGGAAGAGAATTTGTTTTCTCTTTATTTCTGCTTGAAAGGTCGACCTTCTGCAGAGTTTGAACCTTAACTGGTGTTATTTATACCTATTACTCATTGCTCTAAATTGTGCAATATAATAGGGACTCATCCAGGTTCTGGCCGATTGCTGTTTAACTCTAAAGTCCTTGAAGTGTCAGGGTTTTATGGATTGCTAAAGTTAAAAAAAAATGCCCTGTCTCTGCTATCCATGTTCTAGAAATTAACTATTTTTGTAACATTGCCATTTCCTGGAATATAATAACCTTCCTATCATAAATTAGCTCAGCAGCCTGTGTTAAACTTTATGACATTAAACATAAATAATAATAATAGTAATAATAATAATTAAAATAATGATAAAAAATATATTCCTGGTGCAAAAAACCTAATGT